CACTTCGTGTATATATCAAGGTACTTCCGGATACGACGATTGCTAGATTTCGGAGTTTCATATGTTGGAGACTATCGAGGTAGCTGCTTGGCGTCCGAACACCTTCACTTTCTTTCCTTTCAGTTATTTGTATTGTTCTATATTTACAGACAGTGTTTTTATCAGTCAGACTATGTTATCATTTAGATGCTCATGTACTCAGTGACACCGGGTTTTGAAAGTGTATTTATATCAGTATTTGCGAGATTTTCTATTGAATTTAAATAATATATTTTTGAACTTAAAGAAATTTGTGGTTCTTGAGATTGTCGGCTTGCCTATTATTAAAATAGGCGCCATCACGACATGTGTGATTTTGGATCGTGACACTAATAGTTTCACATAAAATCGAACAGATGGAATAATATTTTAATAGTTTGGTGTAATTTTATTAAAGTATGAGAGCACGTTAATTGTTGCTATAAATGGGACAAGGCATGTGAGATGGAGTAGTATTTTAGTAGTTTGGTGAGAGCATGCTAATTGTCGTTATAAATTAGACTAGGCATGTGAGATGGAGTAATATTTTCATAGTTTGGTGTAGTCTTATTAAAGTATGAGAGCACGTTAGTTGTCGTTATAAATTGGACGAGACATGTTATAATATATCAACAATAAATATAATATTTAATAGTCGTAAATAAATTTTGAGTTAATCTATATCTATATATCTATATTTATCTATACTATATTAAAAGCACGAATACCTTTAGCGAAATGTCGTTCGCCTTTTGTACCTTTTAAAAATTAGCTTTATGTTGGACAAAATTATAATTTAAATTACTTTACTAATATTTACGACCTTAAAATCAAGTCAAATTTTGTTTACTAAATCAAACCTTATTTGAATTAGGTAAGAAGTCCTTAACCTTTCATAAACTTTATGAAATTTTCAATGAATAAAAGAATAATGTCATTATATCAGTTTATGGTAAACTTCTCCATATGCACACAATACACCTTAGGTTTGTCTATTTTTTCATTTTTCCTTGATTAGCTTCGTTTAGCGATTTTTGCTTTGCGTGCGCAGTCCGTGTTTTTTTCTGAAAAAGTTTTTATGTAAACAATTTTTGAAAATAGAAATTTTACCTTAAAAATGATTTGAGTTGACTATGGTCACGTAGATAGATTTAAATATTTACAATTTATGCAAATTATTGAGCTGCAATTTAATTTATTAATGTTAGATATCATCATCTGGTTCCAAAAACAGGATATAGCACATAAAAGTTCGAAGTTAATATTTTGTTTAAGAATTGCCGAAGGAGAAAGCTTTCACATGCATGCTCTATTCTATAGCATTTTCCTTTGTTATTTCTTGGAGTAGTTTCTTTTAGGGCAGAAAATAATGTTTTTTCAATGTGAAGGGGGTGGAATTTTTGGCTTTTATTTTTTTTGGGGGGGGGGGGGGGGGGGGGGGCTGAAATAAATGTAAAACGTCATTTTGCATTAATTTTTGTTTCATTTTACAACTTATAATTATAATAATGATACAGTAGTAAATTGTAGGAATAGCGTAATTATGTCCATTTGTCTTTAACCTTACGGGCGAACGTTTTACGTGTTTTTTTATTTTTAGCAATCCATATAACGTACTAACAACTTTCTACGCCTCAATTTTAATCTAATTGGTATCTGTATATAAATTACAACATTATCCATTTTACTCTTATTGAAACACATTTTATTCTGATATTTAATAATTTTCGTAAATAAATAATTTTTTCGCTAATGAGATATTGTGTTAGATATACAAGTAAATATAATACGTAGCTGGATATTATTAAGAAAAAGTTAAACTGATTATTCCGAGAGGACCTAGTTTATTTCACAACCATAAATTTATAACGTTGCAATGTCAACTGTTCTATCTGATTTAGAAATTCACTTTTGAGGCTATTCTAGACCAACTGACTTTCAAGTTTTGAGAGACAGAACCACCTATGCTTTTAATAATCATGAATGATATTAAGATTCATATATCTAATCTTTAGTTTCCGTTACCTTTAAGATAAGAATGGTAAAAAATATCTATGCTCTATACGAAATTAATAACGTTTAGCTTCCATTATATAATTAGAACCTAGTCATTAGTGGGAGACTTTTTCGTAACGCCCAGGTAAGATTAGAGTAAATAGGACCTTTTCCCCCAAATAAATAGATGTTAGATATCTTCTCATTTCCGGTCTATGTGAACTTTTTCGAAGTACAAGTATCACGAACCAAAATTCACTATAGGTCGTGATGGCGCCTAACGCCGCCGTCATGCAAACCAACGGTGATTTACCAATTTAATTACTCATTCTAGTATTTTAAAATCATAACTTTCCTTAATTGAACAGTATAAAATAGAATTTACAGAGTAAGGAATATATTTACACGATTACGACAACGAACAACCCGTAGAAAATCCCCAAAATACGGTATCACAAGTGCATGAACATTTTCTAAAGAATATAATAATAATAATACAACTTCTGTCCCAAATATAATAAGACAGAATAAAATAAATAGTACAATGAAGACTCGGTGCACTGCGATGTGTAGCCTGAAATGCAGCTCACATAAAGTCTCCTCAACTGGTGCGCCTACGCGCCAAGGTGGTCCTCAACGAACATGTCAGATCCTGCACATGCAGTGCAGAAGTGCAGCATGAGTACGTAAATCAACGCGTACCCAGTAAGTATCTAGCCTAACCCCAGAGAAGTAGTGACGAGTGATCGATATCGACACTTACTAAAAGTCCAATATAATAATATAATAAAACATGATGAACTATAAAGCATACGGCAATGATGGGGTAAATCTGTAAGTTACATAACCTTCTGATTACTTCATTTAAGGTAAGAATTTCTAAATCTGGTATTCTACCTTAATATCTCAGAGAATGCCAAGTGCCATCATCAAATAAATAAGGAACGGTGATGACCCAAAATATCATCTTTAATTTAAACATTTATTTCTGTGTTCTAAGGCCTCAAAAAGTACTATTTATCATTCCTCGACTTGTATGCGCGGTCCGTATAATTTTTCGAAAAGTATTTATGTGAAAAATGGATTAAAATGTGAAATAGAGCTTTAAAACTCAACTGAGTTGATTATGATCAACATTTTGAGCAAACGTACTTGGATCAGTATTTTGACAGTTCCGGTAGGCCCGTATCGTGATTTGGGACTTGGGCGTATGCCTAGAATTGAATTCGGAGGTTCCTAGCTCAAATTATTACCATTTAACGGAAACTAGAAATCTCAAGACAAAAGATTTCCAAAGTTTGACCTCGGACTTTATTGATATCGGGGTTGGAACCCGATTCTGGAAATTTGAATAGTTTCGTTATGTCATTTATGAGTTGTGCGCCAAATTTGAAGTCATTTCGGATTCGTTTAATACGTTTCAGCATGAGTTTTGTAAATTGAAAAGTTTAAAACTCAAAAGTTTGAATCAAGGTGTGAATTATAATTTCGACATTATTCGACATGATTTGAGACCCCGAGAAAGTCCATATTATGTTACGGGACTTATTGGAATATTATGACGATGTTCTGAGTGGCTCGAATGAATTTCGGATGCGCCACAGATCATTTGGAACATGTTGTCCAATGCTGGTTCTGGTGTGTCGCACCTGCTCATTTTTGGCCGCAGGTGCGTGCCCGCTTCTGCGAAGGAAATGTCGCTTCTGCGACATTGAGGCTGGGAAGGAAGCTTCGCTTTGATCGCAGGTGTGATACCGCTTCTGCGGCCAGCCGATCGCAAATGTGCACCTCGTCGCTTTTGCGGCTCCATCTTGCGCTTCTGCGCAGCCGCAAATGTGGCCCATTTTCCGCAGATACAGAACTCGCTTGGCTGCTTGGCTTCGCAAATTCAGCCCTTGTCTCGCAAATACGAGGCTATAGATGCGACCTTTTGCCCGCAAATGCGAGACTGGGCAGAACATTAAGGGATTCTTCATTTCGTTTGGGTTTTAAAACCACGGTTTTGGGCAATTTGAAGGCGTTTATCACGACTTCGAACTCGGTAAGTGTTCCTTATCATATATTGATGATATTCCATAAATCCATGTCTATATTCATCATTTATTTCGAATTTAGATTCTTTACGTCGTATTTGATGGCCCGGAAATATTTAAGGCGATCCGGGTCCGTAGGGGCCCGGCCCACTCGAAAAGCGGCACACGAAAATATGGTAATCGGGTGGAATTCTTATTTTTTGGCCGTAAAACGCAAAAAACCGAGGAACGGTGATGGCAAGGCGGTGATTATGGTTTCTTAGGTCGTATTTGATGGCCCGAAAAAATTTTAGGCGATCGGGGTCAGGGCCCTCTCGGAAGGCATGGGCTGTAGCATACGAAAATTTAGGAATCGGGCGGAATTCTAGTTGTTTGGCCGTAAAACACAAAAAACGAGGTAAAACACAAAATACCTCTATGCCTGTAAAATCTAAGACTCTGGATTTCCACCGCGGAACCTCCCTAATTTCACTGGCTCTCATGGTAGAATGGATGTCGTAGCCTTTTTCCACACTAACTCCATTAACATCGAATGAATATCAGCGAAATCTATAGAAAGCGAATCCTTCATTTCTTGTAGTGAATCACAAATTGAGTCATCGATGAAAGCCTTGAGTAACTTTTGGNATATATATATAAATCACTAAATTGAATTACACAAAATGGGAAGTATTGACGGAAAGAAGAACAATAATTAGCTGAAAATTAAAGGGATAAAGGAGGGATAACCAGAAAGAGATGATAAGTATCAGAAGAAGAACATAGATGGGAAAATAGTGCTAACACTTGACAATTTCAGCATAAAGAATACTCTACGCCCTTTGCTATATTTATAACTGTATTTTTTTCTATGTTGCCCTTTCACGAACTTAGCACCTGCATGCACTGAACCTGGGTCTGACACATAATTATTCAAATTTCCAAATATGCCCTTCACCGAGTCACTCACAGAGTTCACAATATCACTTCCCTGATGGCAGGATTCCACAAAGCCAAGAAGACGTTGAATATGCTGCCATCAATTACTCGCTCCAATAAAAACAAGCCATCCACAGAACCTAAAAGGTACGTCATACCTCTGAATTCCTGAAGATAATCAGGATTTTTATGTACGACAACAGCACATGAGACCGAAATCAAAGTGATGGGATTGGGATTGAGAGGAGAATCATCATTTGAGGGGCATCCAATATGATCATAAATCATGATTTTTGAGGGCTTGTTCTTTCTGCTCCAATTCATGTGTTCTTTGATGAAGCTAGGGCTCGTAATGTTTTCAAACCGGTACTTGCCGACGCATTTGAATCGCAACAAGGATTCTATCGGCAACTTGATTAGAATCTCCATTGCTAGATTTTCAGGGAAATACCGACCATCATTATCACGGGTGGCCATATTAGAACAGAAAACAGAGAGATAAAAATGATGGTGAAAAATACTTATACTTAATCGTGAAGAAAAGAACCGATGAAAGAAAGGCAAATGAGAAAAATCCTATCCCATTGATTAGAAATAAAGAGAAGGAAGAAATAAAGAGAGAATGAAATTAAAAGAGAAATAAGAACATGACACATGTTTGTTAAGTAAAAAATCATGAAAAAATAATAAAAATCACTTCCAATTTGTTTACCCTGAAAAATTGAGTAATAATTAAACTTATATTGTGGTTTTAAGGATATGTGATTTAACCTAGTACCAATTAATAAATAACGAATTAAATAGATAAATTGGATAATAAAATAAATCAAACCGGGGATGGATGGGCCGGTTTGTTCGAGTCAGGACCTCCGACTTAATCCCCGCCGAGAAGATGTCATTTCCCGAAGAATGGAACATGAAGCGTAAGTAGAATCTCACTGATAACGTTTGATTACTTGTTATGTTTCCTTTACCTCTTCTCATCTATATTCTTCTTTATGGTGCAGCTTCCCCCTGGTTTTCTGGTGTAGTCCCGGACCTTGCAGGTTGGGTTCGACAACTGGTTTCAACCTCTTCCTATGCTGAGCGCTCGTGGCGCGATTTGGCCAAGGGTCGATGGGAGGCCAAAAATCATAGTAAGTTCCCCTGTTCGTGTTTGATACTTTCCTGTGAAATACTTTTTTTAACTTGATTTCTTCTCATACAGGTCTCGGAGATAAGGTCGTCATGAGGCTGCCTCCCCCCGGGGAAGAGGAGTTCCCGAAGCCGACCAAAGACAAGAAAAGGAGAAGGGCCTCGCCACCAGATACCCCGAAGCCCAGGAAAAGCAGGACTCGAAAGTCGAAGACCGATCCCATTATTCTGTCTGCTGATGTAGTCCAAACACTACGAGATGAAGATGAGGAGGGTGAAGATGCCGACTGCCTACTGGTGGCTCAGAAGAGGGGAGGCATCGAGGCATCGAGAACTACTGAGCCGGTGACGGTCGAGGAGGTTGAGCCGCAGACCGAGGTGATCTCGGAGGAAGATCCGAGCAGAGTCCCCGAGTCATCGGGTGTTATGATGCCTCCTGCCGTGACGAGCAACCGGCGGGTGTGCCCTAAGGGTCTAGTTCTGAGGCCCTTCAAAGAGAAGAGAATGCCCCGAGTGACTCGCTCGGAGCAATTAACATTGATGATTCACCTCCAGGCCCCACGTTCTCTGAGTGGCAGTTTCGGGATGCCCGGTCCATGGGGACCCCCAATGTGGGGACGGCCCCCAAGGGGATAATATATTTTGCGGTTGCTTCGCGGGGGTCAATGATGTTCCCGACCTGGACACATCACTCACTTTTGATGAGGCTCAGCGGCTTCTGAACCAAGTGAGTTTTAGCCCATGTTATCATGTTTGTGTTTGTACTTATTCCTCTGAGTCTGATTTCCTTCCTTTCTGTATAGGCTACGACGCTCCATTGAGAAGCGTCCCCCAAATGTCGAGCTGAACTGGCCCAATGTGAGGCTGATCACAAAAAGCTTGCGGAGGAGAGAGACGCCCTCAAACTCCTCTATGTGCAAAAAGAAGAGGAGATCATGAGTATTCGAGCCGAGTTGATAAGAGCTCATCAAGATCAAACCGAGCTCAATGAACGGGTAATGTAAATTTTTGGGAGCTTGTTATGTATTAACTTGATATTGGTGACAAACATTTCGATCCTGCAGGTTCAGCAGAAGGCTGAATTGGTTGAGCAGCTTCATGAGGAGGCCAAGATGAAAGAGGCAGAGACTTTGGAGTAGAAGCAGAACATGGACCGTCTCGCCTCAGAGAAAGATGCGGTTTGGGCCCAACTGTCTTTGGTTGAGCGTCAACTCCAAAATGTGAAGGAGGAGAACTTGGCCCGAACTCAGAAGGTTGAAGAGCTCGAGACCCGATTGGCCGCTGAGCTTGCAAGGGCCACATCCGAGGTAGAGGCGCTCGTGGCCTCCTATCGAACTGATGCTGAAGCCGCTAACACTCGGGCAAAGGAAATTTCTGATACTGCTGAGGTTAGATTGACCCGTGTTGCTGAGCATGCTAGGCGCCAGTCTCGGAGAGAGACTCTTGAGGAGGTACATGCTCGTGGCTTCGACCTCACTGCTGATATCGAGAGTGCGAAGGTTTTGGAGGACGAGGTCGGAGCTTTGCTTTCCGATGATGAAGAATCTGTGAGTGGATCCGAGAGCGGAGGAGATGAAGATGAAGCTCCCAAAGATGCAGCTCCCGAGGCGGACTGGGCACTTAGGATTTTTTCTCCTTTTGTTTTATATAAGACCCTGTGTGGTCTTTGTAAATACTTTGCATATATGAAAGATTCCTTTTCTTTCCATTTCATCTCCGATTTCTGATTTATGATAAATTCTGTTTTGCCTTTGCCTTGTGAAAACTTTGTTGCAATCGGGTTGCTGTAGCCTCTATAATCGAGTGAGCAATAGCTGGAACTCAGAGTAGAATAAACCCTTAGGTTATTTAGTTAAGCGAGGGCGAGCCTCCGAGCTCAATAATATGTTTGATATTTTGATTTCGGATGGCTTGATCGAAGCCGTAATTGTACTTGTTTTTATAGCCGAGTTCGAGTAAGTTTCACAGTAATAGACCCATTGAGGTTTTATATCAAATAATGATGAATCCTCGAGCTATATTTAAGTCGGTTTTATTTGAGCTCGGAATAGTGGAACCCTTAGATCCGAATTGAGTGAGAACAAAATCTCGAGCTTTAAGTCTATTGGCCCTTAGGCTCTTTAGATTGGGCCGATATGGCCTCTAAAAGATGGCTATTTTTTCCCTTTTTCGGCTTAGAAGACTTAGTAAAAAAATTCTTTATGCCTTAACACGTATTCTTTACTCATTGGGTTTTTTTAGGGTTCGATGTCGATTGAAACCCCTTTGCTTTTTATGCTTTAGCACGTTTGTGTTAAGATAATTTGATACGTCTTAAGGTTTTTTGAGGGCTGATTTTATCGAAGCCCTTTTGATTACTTACCAAGGGTAGCCTTTTTTAACCGGTTTTTCAAAGAATTTGAAGGCCTATTTTTATTGCGGGATTCGGACGTCTCCGAGCCGCCTTAATTTGGCCGTAGCCTTTGGTTATGCCTCTTGGGCTTATTTTCCAATAACACTTCGAACTTGTTCGAAGTGTTAGTCCCCGAGAATGATGGCCTATAGATCGAGGGGTGCCTCTTTGAGGTCTTATGAATTTGAGTTTAGATTACTCGAATATGTCGATCGTCGACGGTAGTCCCTGAGTGTACGAGGTATATTTGCACTTGGCCCTTGAGCCATTTCTCACAAAATCATAAGTATGGAGCTTGTATAGTAAAAAATTTTCTTTGAGACACAAGATGTTTGATATAGAAAGAATGCTTCTTTGTATAATTTATACATGCGTACATGTTTTGCCATAGGGGCTCGACTAAATCTATACGGATACGGTTCATTCGACCGTTTGGCCCATTACAAAGTTTCTCTATCGAGACCCTTTGAAATGAAGTATTTTCCTCGAAAGTGTAACATTCGAGGGTGATGCCCCCCAGTATTCGAGGTTGATTGTAAAGAAGACTTGGATACTGTTGAATTGTCCTCAAGTAGCACATAATTGTTGCCTCGTTAAAAACCTCGCCGGAAAAACCCACTTGGGACAAAAACCGATCAAAGGAAAAAAGAGTGCAATGCGTGCTTTAAAACTTGAGGTCTCGATGTCTTCGATCGAACACCTGCAGTGAGTTAGTGTCGAATATATAAATAAAAAAGGGGATAAATTCATACCTTAGCAATAATACCGTTTGAGAAGCTATATGTTCCAATTATTTGGCAGTTGTTCGCCGTCCATCGTGTCGAGCTTATAAGATCCCTTTTCGACGATGTCGAGGACTTGGTAAGGTCCCCCCCAATTTGGGCCGAGCTTCCCTTCATTAGGATCTCGAGTGTTGATGGTGACTTTCCTCAGGACTAAGTCCCCGACTCTGAAGTGGCGAAGGTTAGTTCTCCTGTTGTAGTGTCTTTCGATTTGTTGCTTTTGTGCAGCCATTCGAACGAGTGTGGATTCTCGTTTTTCATCCAATAATTCGAGGCTAGTATTCATAGCCTCATGATTTGACTCTTCTGTTGTATATCGAAACCTGGCACCGGGTTCCCCGACTTTGACTGGAATCAAGGCTTCGGAGCCATATACTAAGGAGAACGAGTTGCCCCCGTACTGGACTTTGATGTTGTTCGATATGCCCAAAGGACTTCGGGTAGAATTTCTCTCCATTTTCCCTTAGCGTCGTTCAACCTTTTCTTTAGGTTTTGAATGATGGTCTTGTTCGTCGATTCGGCCTATCCGTTCCCACTAGGGTGATACGGCGTTGATAATATCCTTTTTATTTTGTGGTCTTTGAGAAATTTTGTCACTTTGATGCCGATAAATTGTTTCCCATTGTCACACACTATTTCGGTGGGCATCCCAAATCGACATACGATGTGATCCCAGATAAAGTCTATAACCTCTTTTTTCTCTCACTTTCTCAAACGCCTGTGCTTCAACCCATTTAGAGAAATAGTCAGTCATAAATAAAATGAACTTAGCTTTACCTGGGGCCGATGGCAGAGGGCCGGCGATATCCATCCCCCATTTCATGAATGGCCATGGGGATAGGACTGAATGAAGTTTCTCCCCGGGCTGATGGATCATCGATGCAAACCTTTGGCATTTATCACATTTTAGAACAAACTCCTTAGTGTCTTTGTCCATGCTATCCCAGTAGTATCCTGCTCTAATGATTTTGTGAATCAGTGATTCGGCGCCGGAGTGGTTCCCACAAGTGCCTTCATGGACCTCTCGTAAAATATAATCGGTGTCTCCTGGTCCTAAGCATACTGCCAATGGTCCATCGAATGTCCTTCTATATAGTGTTCCATCTTCAGCCAATATGAATCGAGCAGCTTTGGTTCGTAGGGCCCTTGACTCTTTAGGGTCCGATGGG